GGTGCTGAAAGCCGCCGCGCGAGCTGCGCAGGCCAGGCCACATACACTGGTCCCATAAGTATCCGATTGTGCACGAAAGACTTCAAAGTGATATTCGCACATGGTGTTAGTAATTTATGTAGCTGGTTTTTGTCATCAGGCGCATACTATGGACAACAAGCCTGGAAGGTGTCGAAACTGTAGCCATGTGCCTTTCTGGTTCGTCATGATGACATACACTGCCTACTGGGATTACAACTGTGGTGTCCAACAGCTTCCATACATCATGTGTATATATATATATATATATGTATCATGCTGCCTTCGTCGGTCTTAATGTTCCGCCCAGCCGCCCAAGACCCAGTCCCACCACATCACCGCAGAGGTCTTCGGAGGTCATAGCTTTGACGCAGACTGTAAGCCAAGGCCACAAAACATACACGCAGTACTGGCGTTGTCTGTCCAGGCTTTTTCTGCAGTTGGCCTCCAGCTGCACCTTCGTAAGAGGCACTTGCAGTCACTAGCACGCAGGCCAAAAATGGATAGCATTATTCATAACCGTCGTTACCATGCTCGTTATGATGAGAAAGATGCTGAGATGGGACCCAAATGCAAGTTTTGAGGATATGAGCTCTGAGTGACCTGCAAGGCTTGGCTGCAAATGGGGCCAGAGGCATCGCAGAAGATCATGAGCGTTGTCAATGCCCAAAGCTTTGTGCAGAATCCTGTACTGCCGGCACCTGCTGCGAAGAAAGCACCCACGCCTCCGAAATCCGAAGCCTAAAAGTCCTTGGCCTCTCTTCTGCGTGGGCCATCGAAAAAGTGGATCAGAAGCTGAGCGCACTCTTGCCATGTATGAAGACATGTGCGTGTGTGTGCGCGCGCCATCAATGCCTGGGTAGGCGGAGGGCTTCATGCATGTATGTATACATGTATGTATGTATGTATGTAAGTATATATGTATGCATGCATGCATGCATGCATGCATGCATGCATGCATGCATGTATTTTTTATGTATGTATGTATGTATGTGTGTGTGAGTATGTATGTGTGTAGGTATAGGTATGTATGTATGAATGTATGTATGCATGGATGGATGAATGCCTGTAGGTAATCTTACAGAGACAGCACGCGAGAGAGAGAGAGAGAGAGAGCGAGCGAGCGAGGGCATGTATATCTTTTTACTGGCTCAGTGAGAGGGTTTCACTCCCCTCTACCAAGCCTCACAACGGGGCGCACCTTTCGGTGCGGGGAGCTTGACCGGCACCCTGAATCCGGAGTGAAGTGAAGCGAGGGTGTGTGGGTGGGTGGTAGGGTGGCTGACTGCGAGAGTGAGAGAGTGAGAGGGAAAGCAGGAATGTGTATGTGTGTGTGGAAGAAAGAGGGTGTCAGTTCAAGTGCATGTTTGTGTGCCGGAGAGTGCGCTCGTTTGCATTGTGTAGAGCTTTGGATGTAATTATCAATGTGTGCGGGCATTGTTGTAAGACTAGACTAGAGTCACTCTTGCAACTTCGCACGCTGAAGCAAGCCCATGCACCACAATGCTGCTAGAAATGCCACAAAGTGCTCAGTGCAACGTAGTGGGTCCCGTGGGTCCCTTTGGGTTTTTAGTCGGCCATAGTTTAGAAGCAGTGTGCAGGTGTGCAGTTACCGGACTACCATTACACTCTGACTCTACTAGACTGACCGCAGCACAAACCGTGCAACGTAGTTCAGTCTCAACCTACACCGAGCCCCAGGCCACAAAAGGCAGGAGACAGGCTCGAAGGGGTTTCGAACATTGTGGATGATGTCGGTTCAGGATTTAATGTGCGGGTTCAGGTTGGTTGGTGTCGGAATTTATGCTTTTGGGTTCAGTGTTCGGCTGCGTGTTTGCATCTGATGCACGTGGAAACATGCAGCAGGGTTCGATTTCCTTGTCCACCTGCAAACTCGCATTCTGGGGGGGGCTACTTTTGCCTCCTCAAGCTTTATCTATACTGCTGCTGTCCTCAGTTCCTCGACCTGAGGCTTCTGAAGCCCCGAAACCCGGAAGTTCCTGAAGATCCTGAGCAAAATTTCCTACTTCTTCGCGCCTCGAGCCTGAAGCCCCGAAGCTTTCAACCACAAAATCCCACGCACAGGCGCCGTGCGTCCTACTCTGCATGATATGTGCGTATACACGACACTGCGTCCTACTGTGTGTGTGTGATATGTGTGTCTGCAATATATAAGCTCTTACAGAACATGTGAGTGAGTGAGTGAGTGAGTGAGTGAGTGAGTGAGTGAGCGTCGACCAGCACCTATTTTGCGGTTTGCCTCCGACATCCCTCTCCACATCTCAGAGCCGAGGGAGCGATGCTCCATGCACAGAGGGCACACACAACGGCGACCCCAAAGGCGCGCGCCATGTGCCGAGGGAACAGCAAGCACGCCACCAAGCACAAGTAAACTAGGCTGCCGCAGCAATAAACGGCACAGTGGCACATCCCTGGAAGAAAGCCGGTGGCAAAAGCGGGAATCAAGCGAGCTGTCAACGATTGTGGTAAGCGTGGAATACCTCGTGCATTGGACGCCCTCATGCCCGTGACCAACATGTCCGGACGAGCGTTCGATGCATGTTGTAGGTGTGGAAAAGCTGACATATACATTGGACGCCGCACGACCGCAACACCATGCAACCAGCATTTCATACATCTCTGACGAATACATGCCGCACCAGTAGTAGCAGTAGAAAAGTCGTCGTTGTCATCGTCGTCGCAATCGAAACGAAAGATGGCACATCACCCAAAAACACGATGTCGACCCACCGATACTTCCGATAAGTATCGGCACTGTCGCCCAAGTGCAACCAGTACCGCCCCGGGGGTGCACACCCTTTCCAGCACCAGCCCACCCAGCCGAGACAAGCACTAGGCCCCTTGGACTTGCAGAACAAACGAAAATATACATACATACATCAACACGTACAAACATGCATACATGCTTACCTACATACCTACATACCTGCATACCTGCATACCTGCATACCTACCGACATGCCTACATACCTACATACGTACATACATACATACATATACGTGTGCACATGCGTGTGTACATGCGTGTGTGCGCATATGCATGTGCGCGTGTGCTGCACATGCCGCTGTGCGGTTCTTCCACCGCAGCGGTGCTAGGTCTTGCATGACTTTCCGCGGCATGGACTCTGAGGAGGTCGGGAGCTTTCGGCATGTTAGGGATCATGGTTCCGGTTTCGGATTCAAGTCTGAAGGCCTAAAGGGTTGGAAGTTTGGGTGTTTCGGACTTCTGTTCTGCAGTTGAGGGTTAGTCCCGAGGACCCCAGATGCCCTGGGTAGAAGGATGCTGAGAGGAGCCGAGTGGCCTTGAACTGTCTAAACCGACATACAGACACCAGCATCCTAATGCAGGACCGCGAGGACCTCGTTGCCTACTTGGCAAAGGGGGCTTAAGTTGAGCCCTTCATCCTGTGACCGACTAGCCTTCGCAGGATGTGGAAGAAAAGGATTTTGGGGTTCAATGGGGTTGAGGTTTCAGGGTTTTGGGGTGTTAGGGACTTGGGTGCAAGCATGGGTTGATTCTTTGGTTGTTGGTACGTAAGGGTTCAGAGGTACAGGGTACCGGATGCAGATATCGGACAAAGGGTCCGTGGTAAAGTCCGCATGACGCAGTGTGCCTGACTAAGAGTTCTGCAACCTGCACAACAGTATTTTCAGAACTATAGAGCATCTTGGCAGGCATGCCGACCCCATTCTATGGGCTTAGCAAGCAGGTTTGCAAGCTGCCTTAAGGTTTGCCTGCGAAAGTTCCCTGGTCCTTTCATTACTGCAAAGAACCGTAACTCCATCTTTGCAGCTCGTAAATGTTGGATTGACGTTTGCTTCGCGGGCACCGGTTTAAATTGAGTATGATTGAGTAATTGGGTATTTGTAACGAACCTAGGAACCCTGAACCCCAACGTGCAAACCCTGAAGCTGCTTGGTCCCGAAAGCCTAGGGCAATCGGCATATAGTATGAGTTGAGTGTCCTTCGCCTTTGCAAGTTAAACTGAGAGTGAGCTTGCAAATGCTCGTGTCCGTGGACATCTCGGCACATGTCACCAGTCACTAGTCACCAGCCACTCAAAATTAAGAACTCAAGATAGGACCCTCATGTTTAAGGCCAGAAGCTAAGCCCGAGGGATGTTGTTGTCAGTGGCCGTCGGCGTGGTCGGCTCCCATGTCATGCATTTGCTTTCTCATGACCACCAGCAGTGATATATGTACGTGTATTCTGAGATCAGTCATACATGAATACATATATATATATACATATAGAGAGAGAGTTGTACATATATATATATATATATATTTATATTTATTTATTTATTTATACTATTTTTACTACTATTATTATATTGTTACTACTATGTACCAGTATGACTATTACCAGTATTACTATTGGTTTTATTCTGAATATAGAAATGCGTGCATTTACGGATAAACACAGGTATAGATACAAGTACATAGTTCATATATACATATATACATATGTTCATACAGCGTATTTCCATGCATGTGTAGCTGTTCTTGGCCAGAAGCCGAAGCCAGGACCACATTGTGCTGTGGTATTCGGAATGCTGTGTGTATATATGAATATATATTCATACAGTATGAACACATGTAAACCCATACTTCACACCTCTTCGGTAGGCTCCGAACTGCCGCAAGTTCCTCCGTCATACAGCACATGGTCAGAGATTTGGCTAACGACAAGGCACCACAGCAGCTTTGGGACCCAGAGACAAAGCTTCAAATGCTCCAGGGGAGCCGGTCTCTAGAGACATGAAATAGCTGCTAGCTCACAGGCTTTCTCGGTGGTATCCAGTGTCCGAAGCTTCGCATACCTCGGAGGCTTGGTAAGAGTTGGCGCCGACATCTCGCAAAGCCGAGCAGATTCTGCAAGCGGAGTGAGTGCGATCGTAGTGACGTAGCGCATAAAAACATGCCGAAGCCGCAAGTGCTTGTGCTCGGTGCAGGGCACTATGGATGAAAGCCAGGCCAGCGTGGCCATGGCTTTTGCCAAGGCAACGCTGGGGTTTGGGGTCTTGAGTTGCTTTGAGGGTTGAAGCTGCGTAAGCGGCTTTGCCATTTGCTTCAGGGGTTTAGACTTTGCCCGTGTCAGGGATGGGAGCTTGGACACACCAGTAAGTTGTCTGATTACATGACCAGTACCTGAACTGCTTGAAGGAAAGGCTTCAGTCAATGAGTGCTGAAAACAAGGCATGCCAAACCCGGAATAACCTGAGCTCCCAACCGGTGAGTTCTCGCCGGGGTCGCTTAGATCACGAAAGCTAGCTCTGTGGACCTTGTGGGAGTAATTAGTCGTTTACGTTCACTTAGGTAGTAGGGAACTAGGTCGAAATTGCGTGTAGGACATCATATATCTGGTCCGTTTACAATAGTTAAAGGGGGGAGGGGCGGGGGCCCGCGCTAATGAGTGATTTAGAGCCAATAACGAGTCCGCAGGGACACTCCGACGCGCAATGAGGTCGGTCAATGCACTAACGTACGACAAGAGTGTGCCTCTATGTGGGCCAGTGTAAACCTGAACAATGCTATCAACTTGCAAGCTTAAGCTTAATGGCACTACATACGTGCTTGCAAGCTCTGTCGACTCTGGTTCCTTTTCTTGCGCAAGCTTTCGCGGCCTCTTCTCAAGTTAGAGCCTGAGGCTTTCGATTCCTCTTCACATTTCCTCAATCAGAAGCACAGCGACAATCCGGAAGTGTAACCTTTGAGGACTTGGGAGTTATTCCTCTCAACCCACACTCAGATCGGGAGCCTTGAGAGATGTGTCGTCGGTGTCGGAACGGATCTCCCTAAACGAGCTGCTCAGGATTTACAAGTTTACAGGGCAGGTCCGTCTCCGAACGCAACCACACACACACACACACACCACCCGAACGACGATGATCACGGCCATATGCTGTGTCGGACTTGTAACAAAGACTGGACAACAGATTGACGCGAAGTTCAAAGGCCGCTGGACGGTTACCAATAAAAAGGCGACGAACCCACCAATGACTAATGATATATTCAAACATCCGTGAAACACTTCTCCACAGTCTCCCTGATTTGGGCTACGATGATCAGCAAGTCTTTCTTATCCGAAAAGCCTCCATCAGGAATTCAGCAGCAGTGCACTGAAGAATGGTGCCGCAGTGGCTGGTGTGGTGCCTCTGCCCAGATTCCGAGTGCAGTGGGGGTGTCTTCGTGGTTTGGATTTGGGATTCGGGCTGTGTGCCGCCTTGCACTCGCGCCTAGGGTGCTGGCTATTCGGCTTTTCAGAGTCAAACGGGTGTCATTATTTGGGTCATCGCTGTCTGCTGAATTTGGGCTTGGTTTACCGGGTCTACGGTTCCACGATTTGTGCACGTGCTCGGCTACATGCACCCCTAGGCCCTCTGCACTTCTAGAGTTGCAGTGCGACGGTCTCCCATGGACTTGACTCGAGTCGCGACTACGGGCGGTAGTCGAAGACGTTGACAGGCGTCAAGACTCCGATGTTGCTCACAGAACTGGATGCTCACGTTGCAAGTCGCGCTGGAAGCGTTGGAGCAGCTAGCAATTACAGCAATGTCAGAGTGATAAGCCGTGGACCTCTCTAACCGCATTCTGCAATTGGCCTGCAAGGTGGGCGAGTATGTCCAGCGCGGACCAGAAGGTGTAGGCACGAGACTTTATCACACAGGAGTTCCTCCTGCTTCGCAGTCCCCGGTTGCAAAGGGTCCTTGGACTGGGGACGCTACCCTACCCCATTGGAGTTCACAGAGGGATTCCCATGCGACATGATTGCAGCGGCCAGCCACTCGCAGCTCGATCTCTAACTTGCGGACATAGCAAGGTGGTTCTAAGTAGAGCCGGAAGAACACTGACATCAGGTGTGAGGGTAAACACCCCGTGATGCTGGCCATCAGTTCCAGGACTCTGATAGTAGCCCGCATAATTTGGACTTCACATAGTCGCATAGTCCAAATGTGGTGAGGGTTTCCTCAAGCTGACTGCAAGACGAAGGCCCGTCGTCTTCCGAACTTGCGGCTATCTGATTGATGTCACCCGAACCCGGGGTTGTCCTACAGCGCTAGCTCTAGACAAGGGTTCGTGTTCAGGGCCAGGGTTATTGTTTTCTTATTTTCCATCGCGTTGAGCTCGACTCGCATTCTCCAATGTTTTCCTCGTGGACCCCCAACTCTCACGCAATCCTTCAACTTGGGTGACCTGAGCTTCAGGCTGGCTTTCCTTCATGGGTGGTGCCGCGAGCATTGGCATGTCTGGCTCGCTTGCCATTTGTCGTTCGATACCTTATCAGCCTTAGCCGCCTTAGCCCAAGACCCCAAGACTGATCCCCACAAGAACACCCGCCGTCAAATCATGCACATCCTCCGAAAGTTCCTTTCAGTTCTTGCCTGAACGGGCTTCCTGAACCTGTGCAGCATTCCGACCAGTTCTCGGATGCTTGGGCTTCCTGAATATTGCCGCGATCATCCTGGACCCATTGGAGTACGCCACCTTGCTTTGGCGGGATGATTTGGCGGGGTTTTTGAGTGCTCGAGAAATCAGTGCTACTTGAGCTGAGTTTCACTTGCAAATGCTGGCGGACGACAGCAGTCTTGGCACCACTGCTCTGTGCTGCTAATCTTGTGAAGCCCAACAGCTGTAAGTTGAGTGTTGAGGTACGTAGTGAATGGATACCAGACCCTGTTCGGCGTCGTTGTCTGCCTCCTGGAGGTCGCACAGATGCTTCTTTCCAATCATAGATTCCAAGCTCTGCTTGTCACCCGCAGTTGGGTGGTGGCTTGGTACGACGAAACTGTATACGCCTTCTGGCTTTGAGACACATGACAGCACCACGATTAAGCGCATGTTTCGGCTGCGTGAGCCGTACTTGAACGCAGCCAATTCTGTGCGATGTGTATGGCTGCAGTAGTAGTGGTAGCAGTAGCAGCAGGAGTAGTAGTAGCAGTAGTAGTAGTAGTAGTAGTAGTAGTAGTAGTAGTAGTAGTTGGCGCCCCCCCCCCTCCTACCAACTACACTTGCTTAAAACCATCTTAAGAGCACATCCGTTGTGCTCGGTATTTACAGCACTTTCGTC